TCTGAAGTAAAGAACAGAAAACAGACTTTGCCTGCCTGTCGTAGTTGTTGTGTAAAAAAAAGATCAACCAGTCTTCAGGGCCACACCCGGTCCCCCTCCTAGTGACGTAATTCGGGGCGCCATGTAGCTTCCCGTGTGCTCCCTCGAAGGACGCTTCCTCTCCCTCTCTCTGCTGACATTAGCGGGCGTTATGCTGCAGCTTAGAGCCGACCGAGGTCACATTATCTTTTCGCCGTAGTTCCTTCGACTGCCACTTGCGGCTGCAGGTGGGGGAAAAAGCTAGACTTTTGATTTGCGATTATGCAGCACAATCGCGACATTTTTGAATGAAGGAGATGTTTTCTCTATCCTCCAGGACACAATAAACAACGTAAAAAAGACGAGATGCAAATTCTTTTAATCTTAAAATCAGTTGGCATGCCTAACAAGCTATGTTTAGTGAAAGACCAGAATTCCTAATGCAGAGATTTCCCAAAGCTCAAGAAAAACATGCAAATATGGTTATCCTGTGTGCAGTTATAAAGAAGGCTCCATGTTTTTGCAGTGATGGAAGGGGCATTTGACCCTTTGGAGCAGGTTCTGTGGCAGGCAAAACATTGGTTTGGAGCAGCCACTGACACTTTTAAAGTAGATGCCAAAATCTGTTACCACATCACTTGAAAAAAAAAAGTATTGCATCATTAAATGAGTTTACCTTCGTTAATGACTGAGGGCTCCTCTCTGATATTGAAGTACATTACTTATAATCCTTTGTAGTAAGAGTAGAAAGGGTGCAAAGGAACACGAGCTTGACGAAAAAAACCTAAGACTGAGGGTACAAACAAAACATATACAATAAAGTTTATTTTAGCGTACCACAGATTACCGTGCGTCCGCCCATCCACATTAAGCGCCCACCCCCAAAGTTTGAATAATCCAAAAAAATATGCACGGTACATATATATAAAAAATTTATGACCTCACATGCACCCATCCCCTATTTTTTCGCGATTATCTTCAAATTTTGAGTGGGCGCTTGCTCGGTATTTTACGGTGTCATTTATATTCTTCCTTTTGGTACAGTCGTTTTTACCTGCAGTCTTAGGGGTTTTGTCATGCTTAAACTCACCAGCTAGTTTGCATCCTTACGTCCACTTTATTAACACGCAGCTTTATTTTTAGACATAAGGACCTGGCCAAAGTAGGTTCTATGTACAATGAATTTTTGAAAGACTGGCTGAAAAATTAATCAGAGACCAACACTTCAGTTGGGATAACGCCTCACTCCTCTCTCCCTTTTACACTGGATGGTTTATTTAGCCCGTAAATATAACTCCCGTAAAATTCCATCAAAAACAAGCATATCCTCTATTTCTTGGCACAGCCTTTCCATATTAGAGGTCAACTTACAATCAAAACCAAGAAAGGTAGACCTGGAATAGTACTTGGTATAATTCACAAGCCTATCGCGCTAACCCAGGCACTTCCCGATGTTAGCCGCCGCTCCTCGCACACTAGTCCAAGGTGGTGAAGCTTGACGCGCGCGCTCTGATGAGAGGCGGTGAAGGTTGATGTCAGCGGCGCAAGTGCCACGGTACTCTGTAGCTACGGCACGGAGGCATGTGGAAGACAGGCTAATCAAATCATCTCATCAGGAGCAGTAGTGTAGCCAGAGAAGGCTTGTGCAACTTCAGCCCGGCCCCGGCCCCGGCCGCCCCCCCCCCCCCCCCCCCCCCAATTTCCAGATGACCCTATAATATACATATGCATTTTGACCCCACCCCCCCCCCCCCTGCAGCCCAATTCGTAAGCATCCCAGCCACCTCCTCCAAAACCCCCCCCCCCCCCCTTCCCCAAAAAATACTGGCTACACCAGTAATTAGGAGTACAAGACACTGGTTCTGTCTTATCACAGTATCCACCATCCTACCATTTTGCAAAGTATTCTTGCGCCTTTTACCTCCCGACAGCGCTTGGAAAAATAGACGATGTTGGCGATCAACTGGGCAGCGCATCATCCAGTCCGCGGGATTGACGAGAAATTTGCGTTCCACATTCAATCAAAGCACATTCAATGCTACAAGCCAGTGGGACCAATCAGTCAGTGTCATATAACGACATCATGGCATTCATCTTTCTATACATGTTGTATCATCAGCTAGACCAATCAAGTGCAGCAAATGTCCTGTGACTTGCACTTTTAGTATGTGTGTTCGGGGTTGTATGCATTCGAACCTTCGACTGTGCTCAGACTTAAGATGAGACAAATTATACGGTCAGTAGAGATGCTGTGAAATATGCACTACCATTTTATTTCTGCCTATTTCTTTGAATATAAGGGTCGACCAATAACTAAATGTCTTTTTTTTCTTTGTTGAAGCCTCCTTGGCGCAGGTGTGGTGCAATTCTTAACCAAAAAGCCATTTTGGAGTAAGATGTAGCATACTTTCGTTCGTGGAGCAATTTAAAGCAAAGGGCACGGCACTTCCATCACTCTTTTTGCTATATACAGATAAACACCGAAAACTAACCCCCGAGGCAGTTTTCTCGGAATCGGTGAAAATCGAAAAGTCCAAAATTGTTAATTGTCCTTGAAGAAAAAACAAAACAAAAAAATGCCAGTTGTATAAGAAACAATCTTTTACGCTACCTTCTTTTTTTTTCCTCGTTGACTCGGAACACAGCTACACTGAATTGTCGTGGGAATGCTTCTTTCTACTGAAACCACATTCCTAGCTCCGTTCCCTACTCTCTCATCTTTACCAGCACTACGGGAGAAAATATTATAATCTATAACTTATAATATTTTCTCCAGTAATCATATAATCACTTTAGAAGACAAGTCCGATAAACACATTTCTTTCCGGCATTGAAATTAAGACACAGAAAAACACAGATTCAAAGGGAAAAAATCAACACTGATAAATAATCCCCGAATGTGAAGAAAAATAACAGAACCCTAATTATAAGCAATAAGCACGTCTCAATTTGCAAGCAAAGCCAGTTTTTAGAACCAGGTAAAATTTACATCCGGTAATTGACACAAAACTAATGGCATATTTCAGATGCCCACAAAATTAAATATCAGACATACTCTTAGTAAGACTCAATGCTTTGAAAAAACTACTGCTGCAATGAATATGGCACTGCTGTTACCGGAAAGAGCCAGCGCCTGCGTCCAAGTCATCTTTTAGGAAATGTATGAGCTATGACAAAGCATGACAGGAAGTGTGACAAGCAAAAAAACATACTGATCACTTTTGTGTCAAGCTGTCAAACTGCAGAATGCAAGCCAAGATGTATCCAGTTTGATAGTTGGCCATATTGATGGCTATTCTCCAAATAAACATTGTTGATTTACCTTACATCATGACACTTTTGACTGCACAGTTCCACAAACCATAGTGGCAATTTGTCTGAGACCATTTTAACTTCCTTGAGCACAGTAAATGTGCAGTTTACTTCAATGCATTACGAAGAGGAACATCCCACTTGAAATAAACACTGATGTAAAAAGACCCTTCGTGGCCTTTCTATGAACATGACAACCCCACGGCAGTATAGCCTCTTCCACAGTCCACCGCATGACCCATGAAGTCTCTGTGAGGGGAAGTATCCCACCTGGCATAATCCAAGTTTCAATTATACCCTGGTTGACCAGAGAGCTACGTTCAAGGATTACAAGCCACTTAAAACAAAAACTGAGAGACAAAGCTACAAACAGGTTTGCATGCCCTTTTACCAGACAAAAGCTAGTGTTCGAAAATAGAAAAACTGTTTACCGAGCACAGCGCTACGACTAATGTGCCACCCACACGTTACAAGAAAATGGTCAGATTACTTGCCTAATACCTTTTTTAATTTATATAAACATTTCTTCACTACAAACCAAGAGAAGGAAGCTGTGTTATGCTCATGCTGATGTCATATTACTGCTGCTAAGTGGGGATTCACCAGCTTCCAGAAAAGGGCATTGGAATGCACCGGTAACTCCTAAAAGCCAGTTGAATGCAATCTGAAATTTTTACCAAATTCAAACTCCGACAAAAGCAACAACATAGTGCACAAATGCCTCAGAGGAGAACAAGAATGGAAACAAGGTGACATATTGCATAAGGAAACGCAGCTTCACAATCGTGCGCGACTAACCACGAAAATGTTTTTGTTCGAAACCCAAGGATTGCAAAATAGGCAACCGTTTCTGTTCACAATACACCTGCCTGGACTCTCAAAAGAAACCAGGCAACAAGAGCAACCAGAGCACAGAATAGAGACAACCCTTGACAATGGTATGAGCAGGACTTCACTTTGTCTTTCAAGAGTTGTGTACAGTATAGTGAGAGGCAAGTGGCTTTAGACAATACTCCCCCGTCGCACAAATTCTTATGGAAACAAAACATTGAGCAGCGCTTCACACAAACTGTGAAACGAAGTTCATACATGCAGTGCAAGTTAAAAAATAAATTATTACCCCCAAGCTTCTTCAATTGTATTAAACATGCTAGGTTTGTGTTGCTACCTCCTTTTTCTTTCATATGGTCTACAACTTCCTGCTTTTACCAAGAGAAGAAGAAAAAAAAAAACAACAGAGACATATGCCAAATACTACTATGATCGATAGGTGGGAAGAAAAAGGCATAGAGATGAAATAGGCCCACAAACTTTAACCGAATGCTGGCATCAATTTTAATATTTTACCCTTAGTAACGATGCCTCTCGGAAAGCGCAAGCAAAAAAGACCAAGGAATGAGGTTAGAATGTTTCTTGCATTATATTCCAATAAAAGAACCCTTTTCCTTCAGCACGTGATTAGTATGTAGTGCAAAGCTTTGGTCGAGCATCCTCATTCAATGTCTACTACCAACGGTAATGAGTTGGAAACCAAAGCACTTCCATATTTGATGAGCATGTACTGCTCTACCTTAGCCCAATGAGCACAGGTTATTTTGAAAACTGCATTCACCAGATCCCACAAACCCAAATGGAACCCAGGTAAGTCATGGCATGAACAAGAGCCTCACCAACTTTGTCCCTGAGGTATATGCACTGTGAAATGTGGGGGAACTGCAGGATCTTCTTCCATTTCTTGCTCTTTCCTTTGTTTGAGTCTGCTCCGCCTGTGGGGTTAGAACACGCATCAGTTCTTCACGGGTCGGTAGTCGGGATCACTTTTGGGATACACAAGCCGCTTCAAACACTCCCAACCGCGCGGAAAATGCAATCAGATGCAAGCAAAATAACTACCACGGTCCAGGGACGGTTTAGAAGCTATCTCGCTGAGACTCTTTGAAGGAAAGCATTGTCAAAGCTAATGCACGAGCGGAGTGGCACATCAAGTTTCAAGCGCTCGCGCGCCCCAGGCTCGGCACGCTCTCTTTCAGAGAGTCTTAACTGAGACGTTGTTTCTAGCAAGCAGGCCCAGAATTATCTGGAATGGTCTCTACCACCCACAAAATACATGTGGTCAATGACTCCTGCCAAGCACGTTCTTCGACGCATAGTACACCCCGATCACATTCAGCGGGTCAGTTTCGGGGATCACCAGGCTCTCAACCGCTATCATCGGTTGAATATTCGGTACTTTGCAGGGATTTTCGGATCTTGGCGATTGAAGAAAGCGCCTCTCGAGTAATCTTTCCGCTGTGTTCACGCAAAGCTCGCCGTGCATCGGCGCAACATTTTTTTTTTTTTTTCGCACCAGCATCGGCGAGAGCAATTGAAGCGCGCTCGGTTTAGGAATGAATCGCATGCGCGGTCCTGTCGACATCTGGCTGCCGCGCGTTCACGGTAGCACGAGCTAACCCGATACTAAATGCATGTATGTACTGCAGTGGCAGCCCCGGGCAAACCGGGTGACCAAAAGATGGGATTCGGGTACGGCCTTTGTTTCGGACCAGAGAGACCACCACGAGCGCTCAATCACGCGGCTAAGACCTTTGCTTTCGCGGTGGGGTCCGGTCGGCAAGGCACCAGCGAGAAACCGGCGAGCCCGGCGGTTCGCCGGGCAACGCGCGTCCGCGCCGAAAAGAACCGGCGTAGTGAAGGGACGCCGTGGCGCACGCAACTTGTCCGCGATGAAGACGAAAGCACCAACCTTCCCTGGCCTTGAGGTAAACCGTGTTGGCGACAATATTCTCCAGTTCCATCAGTTCCAGCTTGAACGCAGTTTGGTCCAAAGGCGGGTTCTTTTACCGAACCCACCCCGTTTTTTCCTTCAGCCCTTGGTCGATGAGCAATTGTCGACGATCTCGTGCAATAAACACATGCCCAAAAGTTTGTCAATTTGCCTTTCACCTCCTCGAAAACAACTCAAATGTTCCGTTAAACTTCATCTTACGGCTGTAGTTGCCTCCACTCCCTACCAAACCATCCTAGACGAGGCCGAAATATAAATATCTACGAATAAATACCAGATATAAATAAAACAATAAAACAGCAGTCCCCCGATCAGCCTTGGGTGGGGTAAAATGGCGGCTAGGAGAGATGCGCCGGGCAGAAAGGCTGGCCATTGGTCAAAATTTTGCGCATTGTTTATTTGCTTTGGAATATAACCGAGAACAATAGAAAATTTTAGTGTGTCGTTTTTGGTGCACATGTTTCTCAAATCATAAAAGGTGCAACTGCTCCATTCCGTGGAACTATATCTGAAATTTAACGTGTTTTCGTGAATCGCAAAACGCAAAAACGGCGCAACAAGCGCGCCGTGTAAACAATGATGATGATGGTTGGATGAAGGAATGAATAAATGGAGCTATAACCTTTTAATAAGGCGGCGGCTTGCGACATCTACCCAAAACTTTAAAAAAAAAGGAAAAGGGAGCTTTGATAATTTTTCTTTAAACACTTTATTTCATTTTTATTCGTAAACATACAAAGAAAACCGAAACTGACCAATTTACTGGTCCGCCATCTTGTTTTGACGCCAGCACATAAAGACAGATTGAACTTCGCTTGTACCCGTTTCGCCCACTGGTTTTTCACAGCGTCCGAAGCAGTCACAGGGCCGTCAGACATGATGTACTGCGATTCAACAATTGCCTGAGTCAAGCAACGACCAGCAAATGTTTTAAGGCACGAGATTTCCGAAGACTCGCCGTTCGCATTTGATTTGCCGGCATCTCCTCTGAGGAGACCACCCGACCACCCGTGGTGGCTGCATTCGAGATCCGCCGACATGTGGACCCAGATGCCACTTCAAAGCGGAATGGCATGAAACGTTTTGTTCGCTAGCACAGCAAGCACAGTGCGAATCTAGCACGACGCGAACGCTGGGAGCCAGCGTTGATGTACTGCTCGGACCCACTTTCGTCGCAGAGAATTCTCAGTCGGAAACCGTTGAGATATCACTCTGCTGCATTTCTTCGGGGTGTTATTGCACCCCAAATCACATCAACAATTTCCTCCACCCTCGATCGCATGCTGTAAATAGCCTAAACCAGACACAATCCACAAAACCACAGGCGCTCGCTACCACTGCAACGCAGAACGCCGTAGAGGAGTGAGCGTCTGCTCTCGGACTCGGATACATACACCGATCTCTGGATCCTGCTAGGGGTGTCGCGAACCGGCCGAGGTTCGAGTTCGACCAGGTTCAAGTGCGACCAGGTTCGACTTTTTCGAACTTTTAGTAAACATATCGACGAACCTTGTATTGAGGTTCGACTCGTGTGCGCATGCGCGACAGGCTGACCAGTTGGCTTCGGATTGGATGGTGATGGCTAAGGGATGAATTAAGGGCACCGTTGATTGGTTATTTCACTTAATACAGTACAAAAAAAAAGTGATTAACTTCTTTAGTGATTACAATTGGTTTCTTTTAATTGCTACTATTCATAAAATAAAATAACCCTTTGCATAAAAAAAAATTCTCCAAACCTAGACATGCTTGTATTAAGGTCTGGCCTCACTGTCCACAAAGTCGAACCGGTCGATCTGGTGAAAAGTTTCGAAGGTTCGTCAACCGGTTCGACCGAAAATCCGGTTCGACAAAAGTTCGCGACACCCCTAGACATATACGCATATACGGCTCTGGACCTCACCAGAGCCGTATATGAATCGTACGAGACCTCACGAGTGATCCCATGGATACATAAATATTAACGGCTGTACTGGGTGATTTCAGATAAGATCAAACAGGGGGTGGCTGGTCGACCTTTTTAATTTGCTCCATCATTTTATATGTTGTTTCCCAATGTCCAAAATAAACAAAATCAGAATTATTTTCACCCAGAAAAAAAATTGTCGGACGCAAAAAATCGTACATCACGTAGAGGTGGAAAGTCGCATTTGCTTGCATAGCCGGAGGGGGCAACTTTTGTGATTAATAACTAAAGTTATACTTCTTAGGTGAGTTTAATAATCTTTTAGTACAATCTATATGTACTTAGCAATACGAAAAAAAATATTGTTATTCTTTAGTATGTGTTAAAAAATAAATAAAAAACATCAATTTCGGCGCCTTAACCGTTTTTCCCCCAACTTTGCAGGCCTGTATCTTAGGAAATAATTGAGTCAGAAACGTCATATTTTAGGTAAATACACTACTTATAAATGTAAGTAAATGCACTGAAATTCAAATTTATTTAGGCGCGGGTTAGGAAGATTTTGGCAAGCAAACCCGAGACAAGCACCAAAATAAGAATATTTTAAGGGCGATTTAAAAAAAAAAAATCCCGTTCTCGATTTTTTTCAAACTCTGACCAGTCATTCTACTCTATTTAGGGGTTACTATAGATTAAAAACATGTTGCATTATATTGATGGTGTAATAGATACAGCACGTCTACCGAGCCCCTTCTGCGAAGCTCGGCACGGTGTGCGCCCCCGTGGTGCGACGCAGTTAGTGCTAATTCTTACTTGGAAAGAAAAGTTTTTTTTTTTGTTATTCGAGTATAGCAAGTAATAGTTCTTCCACATCTTTTGCACGTTATAATAGATTACGCATTATATAGAATAAATTACACAACAGATACAGGGGGATTTTAGATACGATCGAAAAGAGGGTGGCTGGTCGACCTTTTTAAATTGCTTCATAATTGTATATGTTATTTAACGATGTCCGAAATAACAAAAAAAATCAAGATCATTTTCACCCAGAAAAAAAAATCGTCCGACGCAAAATGTCGCACATTACGTAGAAGTGGAAAGTCGCATTTGCTTGCGTAGCTGGAGGGGTAAAATTTGGTGATTAATAACGGAAATTATACTTCTTAGCTGAGTTTCACAATTTTTAGGCACAATCTATGTGTACTTAGCAGTACGAAAGAAATATTATTGTTTATTATGTTTAAAAAATTATAAAAAACATCAATTTCGGCTGTTTGACTGTTTTCCCCCAACTTTGCCGGCCTGTATCTTAGAAAATACTTAAGTCAGAAGAGTCATATTTTAATTCAATACGCTACTTTACGCCACTTATAAATGGAAGTAAATTAACTGAAATTCAAATCTGTATACGCGTGGGTGTGGGAGATTTTGGCAAGCAAACACGAGACAAGCACCAAAATAAAAATATTTTAAGTGCGACTTTAAAAAAAAAAGTTCTTAATTTTTTTTTAACTCTACCCAGTAATTCAACTCGATCTAGCGGTTAATATCCATTAAAAACATGTTGCATCATACTGATGGTGCAATGGATACAGCTCCTCTACCGAGCCCCTTATCCGAAGCTCGGCACGGGGTGTCCCTGAGTTGCGACGCAATGATTGCAACTTGTTATTTTGTGAAAAGAGAGAAGAAAAAAAAAATATATATATATAAAAACGTAGCATCGGGGTCGTCGGAGCAAAAGTGCTCCACATGCATCGAGTGGGCGGACAACATTCGCCGCGCCTTTGCGACCACAGCCTCTCCCCGGGAACGCTGTCAATTGCTGACCCTCTTGCCATCAACCTTGGCAAGAAATGAAGTCCAGAAGATCATCCCAGAGGCATCGATCTACATCATTAATAGGTCCCGGAAGCTGAGGGAGAACCACGGCGTGTGGTATGTGCCCGATCCCTATACAAGGTGTAAGGTGAGCCCTGAAAACATATCTGCAGTGGTTGAGTACTACATGGAAGACGAGTTAGTGTTGTAGGCAGAGTCCCAATCAGAAGGACGTCATTTCCGTTGTGCTCGATGGCCAGAAAACGCTCAGGCCGAAACGTCTTATGACACGGTCAATCAGAGAAGCGTTTCGTGAGTATAAAAGTGACCATCCCGACTCCGGCATCGGATTGACGAAGTTTTACTCTCTGCGACCCCGATGGGTTAAATGCAATCCCCAGCAAGAAGCGTGCGTCTGTGTGTACTGCGCAAACTATAACCTCTGTGTCGCCTCTCTACAAAACGCTGCTGGCTCACAACTTGACTCAGCGGAATTGAACTCGGCGTTCATTTGCAACCCGCCATCGCGCCAGTGCCTTTTAAGCGAATGTGACCATTGTCCCAAAGGCCATTCTCTCACACTCGAAAAACTCAACATTTACGAGGATGAAGAGATAGTTTTGGCAGCATTGGAGTCAGGCGAGCTCGTGAAAAAGACTTTAGATCCGGTCACTTTTCTGGAAGAGCTTCGTGTGTCGGTCTCAAGGTGGATCATTCACAACCATATCAGACAGACGCAAGGCAAAGCCATCTATGAAGAAAAGCAGTGCACGCAGCGTGGTAGCATTGTCTTCCACTTCGACTTTGCTGAAAACTGGACTGTTATCCTTCTTGACGAGATTCAAGCGTACCACTGGAAAAAAAAAAAAAACAGGTCTCAATATTTACGTGTGTGGTGACGACTAGAAAGTCGACATACACCTTTGCCGTCATCAGTGACGACTTGCATCATGACTCCGCTCATGCCTGTCTGGCTGTACAAAAAGTGAGAGAGTGGGTCGATGACAACCTTGCTGTGTACTCTCATTTGACTTATGTAAGTGACGGTGCCGCCAGTCACATCAAGAATCGCTTCCAACTTCATGCATTCCAAAAAAAAAAATGTTTTTCCCAAGGCCCAATGGCCACTGGGCACGGAAAAAAACGCTTGTGACGGAGTTGGAGGGCTTGTCAAACACCGAGCAACGCTTCACAACTTGAGACAGCTCCCAGGAAAGGCCATACAGTCTGCAAAATGCATGGTGAACAGTCTTTCCCAAAAACTAAAAGGAATGAATTTCACAATTTTGGACGAAGACGAGGTTGTTGAATTCCGTGAACGCAAAAATGAAGGGTGGGTGCGAGTGCGCGCCTTTCCTGGTATTCAGTCGTGACATGTGTGGCTATGCAAAACATCAGAAGCTTCGACCTGTGACTTGGAAGTGGCACGGACTGTCGGGTCCCCTTGGAAGAAACTCTGAGTGCACACTGTCAGAAAATGTTTGCGTCAAAATCTATCCATTTCGAAACCTATGAAGACAGAACTGTGTTGTATATATGATATGTAATTTATTATATTGAATGCTCAATTTATTATAACGTGCCAAAGATGTGACAAACTATTACTTGCTATACTCGAATGAATAAA